GGGGGGGCTCTTTTCCTGCAGGGCGTGTCGTCAACCCTTTGGCGATAGCGGCGCCATAGGACGAACGCCGCGGTCCCTTTTCCCGATACCGTTTCCCGATCGATAACACGGAGAGAGAGAGAGAGAGAGAGAGAGAGAGAGAGAGAGAGAGAGAGAGAGAACTCGGGTACTCAAATTAAGGCGCGCCGCGGCGCCGTAAAAAACAATGCGCCGGTCGCCTCTTTGCCGCCGCTTCGTGGGAGTTTGACGGACACGGCGACAGAGCGCACCAGTGTCGCCCGCGGCACCGCTTGGCGCTCGCCAGCCAGTCTCATCACTTTGGGCCGCGATCATTACGCGTGCGCGGCAATAAAACTCTCTCTCTCTCTCTCTCTCTCTCTCTCTCTCTCTCTCTCTCTCTCTCTCTCCCCCTCTCTCCCTCTCTCCCTCTCTCCCTCTCTCCCTCCCTCCTTGCTCCTTTCATCCAACTTCCTCTTCGTAGATCTGTCTCTACATCTTGTCCCTTTCTCCCTCCACTTCCTCCTCCACTCCTTAGTTTTGTTGTGCGGGATCACTGCCCAAAGGGACATGTGCCTGCGTTTACATTGTTGCACTCAGAGCAAGTAGTAAGCGGTTGTAAGTCTTTCGAGTAGGAAGGAGAAAATGTATAAATTTCGGCGGATAGAGCCGAATGCAGCGGCACTTTGAATCGATTCTTTTTATTTTGCCCCATAACTCCTGAAACACTCTGATACGGAGGGATTTGCCGCTACCGAAGTGTTAATTGAGTGCAACAAGGCCCTTTGGGCCGAGACTGGCGGCGCCTTTGAGCGCGGCGAGGGCGGGGCGGTCAGGGCGGCGCATCGAGACGCCACTCCTACGTTCGATCTATCGATGTATATAGAGTTAGGTTGGAACGAAGCGAGAGTGAGAAAATAGAAGGGAAAAAGGGGGGAGAGAGAATCGCTGACGCAGCAGTTTAATCGGTCGAATGAGTCAGACGGCACTGGCCCTAGGTGGGTAGGCAACCTGCAGTAATAAACATTTTTGTGAGCTGCGGAGTTGTTTTTTTACGGGGACGTTGTTGGACTTTTTCTGTCGAGACAGGTCTGTCGATCACTTTGAAACTATAGCCTGTCTCTCATGGATAGCCATAGCTCTGCGGTTATCAGCGTACACGTGACGCTGTCTGAGCTGCGACCACGTGATGATCCCGCTTATACTCAACGATTGTTACTGACCTGCAGCGCGATTAGCAGCTCTGAACATAAACAACTGCAGGTCGTCAAGATGCGCAGACAGCAGGTGTAGGTTCACTCGTCAGGGAATGCCCCAGCCATGACTCATGCAGTCACATATTTGCAACGAGCTCATTATGCTGTTCGAGTAGGGTAGGGGAAGATGCAACCAATCGGCCTGCTCTACTTCTTCTGGATGGTTTATCCTGGCTGCCTTAAAAGAAAATCTTGTCAGCAGTGAACGAAGACAGAAAAGCGTTAGTGTTTTATATGTTGTCTGAAACCTGACACCAACCTGACTCCAAACAGACTCCAAAGAGGAAATGTTGTTCCATCGGAACGCGGTTAGGAGCTCAAGGTTCCTCCTGAGAGCGGTGTACAGCTTATCACGTGCACTCGAGAATGTAAACACAAGTCCTATTAATAATTATCAGATATGGTCACGATATAATCCGCGAGCATTGCGTGCATGTGCAACAGTTATTGGCCATCCGTCACGGGCATGCCAACGCCCATTTCTATTTTCGTTCCGTAATGCGTGATGAGTCAGTGCATCCAGCAGGTAAATCTCGTTTAACTGTTGCTTACTTGCGGCGGCGGCAGGTCTCTCACGCCCCCCGCCGTCCTTACTTACAGGGGACCTGCTACGCTCTGCTCGCCGTAAATGTGACGGGAGAATTCAAATTGGTCCCGCCTCCCCTTCCGGTCAAAGCCGGTCAAAAAGGGCCGGCAGGCCATCCTACTGGCGGCACGGCCCGCCTCAATACGAACGTGCCCCGCGCCCGCTCCGCCCTCTAACCTCAAAACTAATTAAAAGGGCGATCCCTTTTACACGTGGTGCGTGTCTAGCTCACGATTCCAACTATCTAACTTTTTCCATCTCGACTTACTCCCTCTTTTTTGTTTTATTTCTGCCGTGTGAATTTTTTTTTGGTGTGTAACTGGAATGAGACTAGGATGATTCGTGTTGTGTGGTGGCATTGTGAGGTCGTCATACGAGTTAAGTGTTCGGTTAGCCGGACAAATTAAATCACTCGCGTGTCTGACTCACACGCACACACAGACGCACACCGTGAGGTCAGCTGGAATCATTCAGGACCTGAGTGACATGACGCCCGTGCCGGGCCTCTAACTAGGAGGTATCATGGCCCAAAGGGTGTGCCCTTGCCCGGCCCCGCCCGGCTGCTTTGGGTCCCGATGTCGGTCCCGATGGGGCTCAGTGAGCCTAATGGTCTTCGATTCACTGGAATCGGGGCCCTTGCGTTCGGCTTGAGTGAAACTCATCAGGGCTGTCGACACACGTCGGAGAGGAGCCCAGGGGCGTAACAGTCTGTCTGCTCGTGTGTCGTGGCACAACGTGGCATGCCATGCCAAGCGGGTGCTGGCGTAAATGTGAGTGGCACGTATGAAATAGTTCGTTTGGAGTGGTGTGTGGGGGGAGGGGGGGGGCACACGCATGGGGAATGGTACGAAAGACCAGTTCAAAATAGACGAAAATAAAACAAAACAGGATCTCACGTTTTTGTTTTGGAGGCAGAGTACTGCTTCTTGACATGCCATTGCGAATAGCTCTACCACATCAGTCCTAATCGCCAGTCCGGAAACAAGTGCGTGGTGGTGGTACTGACGTGTTACTCGTACGGTGCCGACGGAAGTCAAACCTCGCTGTACCGCAACAGACAGTAATTTGATAAGAAAGTAATTATCTCTTCCAGTACTTGGCTATTCACAGGGCACACAAGTGTTCACGAAAGCGTGGCATTCGCCGCAAAACGCTATCTTGCTCTTCAGTGTGCGTGTGAAAAGGGGGGAGGGGGGAGAGAAAGGAGGG